AAAAATTCTGTTACATCACAAACAAAAATATAAGCAAAAATATAATGGTTTTATAAACTTCTGACTAACCACAAGATATTTTAATGAAACCATTCCAGCAGTTTTCCTTCGTCATTACCAGAGGAGTTGCTACAGCGAGTGGACTTGTGGAGTTCACAGCTGTGGGAACTCCTGCCATTAAGACTGTCCCAGAGTCAGAGTTTCCTGATATTTCAGTTCTCTGCCTGGAAGCCACAGGAACCCCAGCCCCAGTGATGCAGCCCAGAGCCAGAAAAAACTCTCAACTTCACTTCTAATGGGACTCTCAGGACAGTTGGGCTTTCACTCAAAAAAGCCAGAAGCACAGGAGCCCAGACTGCCAAACCTTGAAACTCCTGCCCAGGTCCTCATTCCAAATTTCCAGATTCCTGTGTCTCTGTCCATCTAGCTGACAGAAAACAGGGAGATGGGAACTTGAAGTTTCAGGAGCTGCAGCTGAGGCCTCAAAGCTTGGGCTCTCAAGCTTGGTGTTGTTTCAAAGTAATTTAAACAAACTGTGTGACCTTTAGAAAGATTTTTCTGCTTTCGCCTCTAAATGAAACATACAACATTTCAAATTAAAGGCTTTTTTTTTTTTTTTTTAATAATTGAATCTGGAAATGGAACTCTAGTTTTGAGCATCTACAGCACAGAATCCATGACCAAGTGTTTCTTACTGGTCTGTGATACAGAGTAATCCAAATAAAACCATAGAATTTTAGAATGTTTTAAGTTGGAAGGCATCCATAAAGATCATCAAGCCCAACTCCCTGTTCTTCATAGAACTACCTAGACTGAAAAGGAATAATTGGCTTCACAACAGTTTATACAAGGACTCAGTGAAAAGAGTAATGGTAATGAGATATGGAGAGATTTCACCCTCAAGTAAGTGGATCTGAAAAGAAAGAAAAAAGCTTTTTCTCTTTACAAAATAAATGTGTTTCAGAAGTTCAAGTCAAATTCCAGCTAAAACAAGAGCAGAGTCACTCTCCCAAGGACTGAAGTCCACCTGCTTTATCTAGTTGTGCTCTTGATACACAGGGGTGATGCTCCCCTCCCAGTGTCTGAAATAACATAATTCCTCAAAATATTATAATTTCATAATCTCGTCATTTCTAAGCCTGCTCCAACATTGCAATATTCATCCTCATGGCATGCCAGGTATTCGCCACCAGTGTGAAAAGCTGGAATTTAGCCCTAATGAATATATACATCTTACACTACATAGGCTTAGCTTTTCACAAGTGACGTGACCACATGGAAAGTTTCCCTGTGAATCACAAGAATATGTAAATCTGTGCCATCAAACAACATCTGTTGGTAGTTTAGGGATAATTTGATGCTACTGTTTGCTTCTATCAAACCTGGTGCCATGAAAACACTTTGCCCAGCTCCTATCTGCAAACTCCCGTGATAAATGTATTTCCCAAAACTGACTCTAGCTCCTGCATGTAACTACGTATTTCCTCTTTTGTTCAAACTGCTGGGGAGTTCATGGACCTAGAATCATAGAATCACTAAGGTTGGAAAAGGCCTCCAAGATCACCAAGTCCAACCTTTGACTGGGCACCACCATGCCAACTAAACCACAGCACTAAATGCCACGTCCAGTTGTTTCTTGAACACTCTACAGAGATTTCACCCCTCCCTGGACAGTCTGTTCCAATGCTTTAAGCATCCTTTCACTGAAAAAAAAATTCTTCCTGATGCCCAACAGGTCTTCAAACCTGAAAGCAGCTGAATTAAATAAAATTAATAAAATTAATAAAGTTAATAAAATAATTTGAGAACCAGTAAGTTCAAGTGCATGCCACAATCAGCCCTACATTCTGACACATGCAATCCACATGATACGGGTACCCAAGGAGGTATCATTAGATACATAATAATACTAATGAATTAAAGTTATGGTTACTAAGCACAGTCTGCTTATCTTCCAGGCAAAACTAGAAGAAAGTCTAGCTACATTCAAATAGTATGGCAGAAACAACTTCCCTTTTTGAAATTTTCTAACCCTTTCACACATAATTGCACTGCAACACAAAGATTCTTACTCATATCCTACAAAGATTCTCATCTACATCTGAAGAAATAGCAGAATTTATTCAGCTCACTTATGGCATCACCATGTTTAATTATTTCTAGTAATGAGCTTCATGTGACAGAACCCAGGCTGCTGTAAAAAACTGACATGTTTAGTATCCATATTTCCTATGTATATGTTTTCTACTTCGTAAGCATTCCCTTATCTCTGTTTATCAGAGGCTGGAAGTCACCTGAAATTAACACTCTGAACTGGCATATACTAACACTGATCTTAACTTTGCATTATTAAAATTAAATTAAAATTCTGTATCAACCAAGAAAAATACTTCATTAGAAAAGAAGCCAACTTGTACTTTTAAAGAGTGGAAAGGAACATTAGATTAATCAGGTCATCTTGCACAAACCCCTGAGAATCAGCAATTTCTATTCAGAGGTTTTAAAGAACATTCAACCTTCTTCAAGTCATGCTTATACATCACCCCATTACTATAGGCTTGAAGTTTTGAGCACTCTATATTATACAAGGTCAACAGTACATTCCCAAGAATCTCTGGGAAATATCTCCATCATAGATCCATGTACAATTGCTGTGCAGAAACAGCTCCTCACAAACTGTCAGTTCTTTCTTAGTTTGGCAGCTTGATCTAAAGCCCATTTTGGGAAATCTTTATCTAATTAATACACCTCAAACTCACCTCCTCCAAGAACTGGTACAGATATTTATGCCTACACAGAGAAAGAGACACACAGACCTCCTGCTCTGTCCTTAGGCCACTACAGTCATGCCCGTGTAACCCCCTGTGAGGGATCTGCTTGGGAATAAAAGTGAGTTTATTATGATGTTGTTATTCTGCTGTATACCAGAATTACTTTCATTTCAGAATAATCTAGACAGTACCCCAGAGTAATGGAAAGGGTACAGCTGCTGTCATAGAACTGCACTGCTAGAATTTTGCCATGTCAGGTTGCTCATAGAGCAAGTTATAGCAAAGCAGAATTCTCCTCTAAAACTACAAAGCAAGGATACAATATCTCAGGAATACACTCTCATTTCACTCATCAACATGAGTAATGAAGCCCAAGTTGCACCACAGGCCTTCTCTACTCATATGGATATGGCCCAAGCCTTGGTCGGGAAAACTTTTGGTCAAGTGAGAGTCAGTGGCAAGACACGGGGTAGTCGTGAGTTGCCTTCAAAAATGCACTTGAAGGGAGAGGAGAGTCTTTGTGTCTACTCAGTAATTTATGTGATGTGCTATTTATCCATGCCAAACTCTTATTTAGTTCAGTGCGGCTGTTTAAGAGCTCAAGTGTAAATATGAAGAGACTCGCTTTGTTTGGTGAAAAACAGGAGCAGGGCCTAGTCAGTTTGGAACACCAGTGCACGTGAGGAACTTAATGCAGTATTTCTTTCCCTTTCTCCCTCCTAAGGGGGCTCTTTGGGTACAAGCCAATTTTTCCTCAATTTCTGGGATGAGCAGCCAGTCGCTGGTAAACACACCTCTGACTTTGGTCACGCAGCTGCCCTTCACCTCCAAGTCAGCGGCACCTCAGCCACCTCTGAGGGGTGGGGCTCTCTGGGCTTCCATCTTTTTGCTCCATTTCACGCCTGTTGGCCTTCCCATTTTGGATGGCTCCTGGCCTCACAGGTGCTTTCTTGCCATCAGGTGCGGGGATCTTCCTGCTCTTCCCACACACAGGTCTCCCGTTCTGGGCACAGAACGCTCACCCCTCCACACGCCACTCCCTCACACCTTTGTGTGATGGCCCCCGTGCCGCCATCGCCAACGAATTGTACCTCGGTCATTGCGCCCATACACACCAAGGCTCTGCCAGCTCACGGCATGGTCAGAGCAGCCACGGTTCCGAAGCCCCGCTGGAAAAAGCCACCGGGAGCTGAGGGCAGCTCCCGCCGTCGACGCCCGCCCCACGCGTGGCCCCCGGCCTCTGGAACCTTCCGTGGCGTTGGGGACGAGCTGTGGGGCAATGGGCGGGCGCGGGAGCCCAGCCTCGGGCGCCTCGGCCGTCGGGGGCGCAGGAGCCACCTACGGCGCTCGCCTTCCGCCGGGCACCGCCGCGATCCCACCGGCTCCCGCCGAGAGAGGGGAGCGGGAAGCCGCCCGCCCCCTCCCTCACTCCCTCCCTATCCCTCTCCGCCGGCCCTCCGGGAGGCCCGGCTCCCGCTCCCCGGGGGGGAAGGGGGCAGCCGGACCCCCCGGCTGGGGGATCTCCTCGGGGCGGGGCCCGCCGCCGCTCCCTCCCGCCGGGCGCGGCCCCCGCGCCGCTCCCGCTTCCCGGCGGGCCCCCACGGGCGGCACGCGCGGCCGGTGGATGCCGCCGGGTGACGTGCAGGGCGCGCGGTGGCAGCACCTCCCCGCGCGCCGCTTAAAAAGAAGAAGAAAAGAGGGAGCGAAACATGAGAGCCCGGACGAGCCGCAGCCGCCGCCGGCAGCAGCAGCAGCAGCAGCAGCAGCAGCGGAGGGGGCATCGCCCGGCCCGGCCGCCGCCGCAGTCCCGCCGCGGGGACACCCTTCCTATGGGACGACAAGTGAAGGGCTGCTGCCGCCGCCCGCTGCCCGGCCCGCCCCGAGCCTCGGCGCTTCGGCGCGGCAGCGGCAGCTGCTAAAACCTGTGCTGCTCGCACAACTTCGCCGGCTTCGAGCATCCTCCCGCCGGGGCTCGGGGGCTCGGTTCCCCCCCGTTCCTGCCTCTTCGCGTCCGCCTTTTTGGAAGAAGCGGGGGTGGCCGAGGTGCTGTTCCTCCGTCGGCTCTTTAACCGCTGCTGTTATTATTCTCCTCCAGACTTTCCCCTTCTGGGGGAGGGAGGTGGTTTCCTGATCTGAAGTGCAAAGAAAAGTCAGTGGGATTCCCCTCCTTCCTTCTCCCCCCACCCACCCCCCCACCCCCGGTTTGGGTGCATTCACACGCTCCCTCAGGCATGATGCTCAAGATGCTGCCGTTTAAGCTGCTGCTGGTGGCCGTGGTTCTGTGCTTCTTCGAGGGGGATGCCAAGTTTGGGGAGAGCGGCGCCCGCAGGAGAAGGTGCCTCAACGGGACCCCGCCGCGGCGGCTGAAGAAGCGGGACCGGCGGGTGCTGTCCCCGGAGGCCCCGGGCGGCGGGGAGGCGATGTGCCGCGGCCTCTACCCCCGCCTGTCCTGCTGCTCCCGCTCCGAAGCGCAGGGGCTGCCGCACGCCGAGGCCAAGGTAGGCACCACCTGGGGCTGCGCCGGGCTTTGCGGGAGGTTTTTGGTGTCGTGGGTTTGTTTGGGTTTGTGTTGTTTTTAATTTTTATTTTTGCGCCGAGCCACGCACCGGCCGCGAACCTGCCGCGTTCCCACGCGGGTGGGGGCGATGCCGCGGCGGGGGGCGGCCGCTCCTGCCCGGGGGGCGAGGGCGCGGCGGGAGCGGGATCCGGGAGCGGCTCTGGCGCTGCCTCGGGAGGCGCGGGCAGCCGGCGCAGGTCCGCGCCCCGCGGGGGGAGCGCTGTGCCGGCTCCACTGCCGGCTCTCCCTCCGAGTTACTTTTTGTCCGCAGCGCCCGAGTTTCTGGCGGCGGCCCCGGCGCCGGTCCCGTCCCGGTGCAGCGAGGCCGGGCCGCCCGCAGGTACCGCCGCTGCCCAGGCGCGGCTGCGGGGAAGGGCGGAGGAGCCGGGCGGGCTCCCGGCAGCGGCAGCGGAGGGGCTGTGCGCTCGCCCGGCGGTGCCATCCGGGTTGGGCTTTTCCTGCCGTGAAAAATCGTGTCCAGTTTGCTCCGCGTGCTTACTTCGGGAGGGGGGGTTTGAGAAGTGGCTTGATGCCGGTGTACCAACATTATTCCGTGATCTCCGGCCGCCTCGGGGCCCGTGTGCTACTCACGGTTCCGTCTATCAGCGCCGAAAGACCCCGGAGTGTCCGCTGTGCAGCCCCGGTCTCCCGGCTCTCACCCGGGGCCGGTGTCTCACCAGGTGCCGTGAGATACTCTGCCTTTCCACATTACCTGGCAGCCTCTCTGCCCAATTTCAAGCTGCGGTCATGTGAAGGGAAGCACCTCCTCTGCTCACCGATTTCTTAAAATTGTCAAGTTCTCTGCATCCTTTAGCAAGTTAAATTCTGCTTATCAGCCTGTTGCTTGGATTTTCAAACGCGTGGGTACCTAACCAGGCAGGACCGTGTTTGATAAGCTGTGCTGTGCTGGCCAGTGCTGCATCCGGGGGTACGCACAGGGAGGGAAGTTGCTGAATAATGTCATTAAGAATCACTGCACATGAAATAAACAATCAGGTGTCTTTTTTTTTTAATTATTATCACTTTTCCCTTTTTTTTTTTTTTTTTTTTTAATTTCATCCTCCTTTAGGTTTAATTAAGAATTCCTCAGTTACAACTCTCTAGTTGTCAAGGTCTGAGAGACTCTTGGAAAACTTGTGTTTCAGTCTTGCTGGCCCAAGCATAATAAAAAAAAATACCCAGCCTGAATCGAATTTTTATGCTCAGTTCACGGTAGATTTCACTCCATTCTCATGTAAACAGCTTCTACGAATCAACATATGTGTCTGGGTGGTATCTCTCACTTTGTTTTGTAACAAAAAGCCATATTGCATCATTTAATTTGCTCAAGTCATGCAAATAGGAAAAAATCAATAGGACAAAAAGGGGTCGACTTATCCTCCTCCCCACTAAACTGCTGCCCACACACAGAGTCCTGTTGCTTATGGCAAAAGAATAACAACAACACCATTGTGTTTGTTAGTTGGTTCACTAATGGGTGAAACTGGAGAACATCATTCTCCTTCAGTCCCCAGCTCTGTCCAAATGTTCATGCCTTTTGAGGGAGCATTTGTCCTACCCCCTCTATTCCCAGATGATTGAGAACTGTCTTACTGCAGGTTTTCAGCTGCAGATCTCTCTTTATTCATACCATATGCAGCAGCAGTTTGAGATTCAAGGCAGATATATTTCTTCATGTTGTCTAGAGGCTGTGTCATTAGGCTCCTGTGTGATGATTGAATTAAACTATAACCACACACAGATAACCTGGAATATCTAGCTGGGAAAAAAAAAAAAAAAGGAAAAAAAATAAGGACTGGAAAATATGTCCTTAATTCACCCTGTTTGCAATGTCTCGGTGGCATATATGCTACTGAGATTATTCAGTGCTTGGAGACCCTTGTGGTAATTGGTTGAATGCAATAAACTGGAAGTTCAATTTTGGTTAGTTTTCCATCCCCAGGCAGTTGAAGTGTTTATTCTCTTCTTACTATTACTTCAAAAGATCTTTTAATTCCTTTTCAATGTGTTTTTTTCTTACTGACAGTACTAAAAACCTGATGTAAATGTGAAGAAGTGACCATATATGCTACAGAACCTATTTTTGAGCTGTTGAACCCGTTTTGTATTTTTTTTAAATATAAATGACATTTTTAAGGAATGTTATTTTACAGGGTTGTAAAATCAGACTTTTTTTCACCAAAGATTAATTTTTATGAAACTCACAAATCTGCTTTATCATATCTGATGAACGTATATGTTAAAAAAAAAAAGTCAAAATATATGTCATTTATACTTTACAGAATGGGGTGGTCATTCTGTAAAAGACATGGCAAAGTATTGTGGTATACATTTGAATGTAACTTTTCTAAAAGCACATTTTTTAAAACTGTATTCTTCTACAGTTCTCAAACCAGCTTTTTAAAACTCCATCATCTACCTGCGTGATGGAGTGGCCATGCCCTTAACAGAAATCTGAGCACTGCCATCTTAAAAAAAAAAATTAATTGACCATGCTCAGTAGACATTCTAATAAGATCTTCTTGGTTAAGATGCTGGGTCCGTGAGAATTTTTGACCAAATTATTGATCTGCGCTTATAAATGAAAACACCACCTGCAGTTTTGGGAACAATAATGGAGCTACTGTAAAGAGCAGATAATACGTTGCACTGGCTCGAGTAAAATATTTGTGTCCTGTTGTTGACATTTAACTCTTTCATTTTTCTGACAATATCCCCTTGTTTATGAAGGGCTACTACATCCCAGCCAAACATTGTAATATCAATTTTTCTAGAAGTTTGCTTGCAATCTGACAGGCAAAGAAGTCCTCTCTACCTTGGATGGTTTCACAGCCAAGGCTGTCAAGGAATGGGTGAAAAGTAATTGTTTTCAAGTGTGCCCTTTTACAATCATTTGTTTGCTCTGGCTCTTTCATGAACAAAGGCTATTGTTGAACACATCCAACTAAACAAATAACTCATCTTGGGGTCCCTTTAACAGCTGCCTTAGTACAATGATCTATTTAAATATTACCCTAAAATTGAAACTGAACTCTTTAATGACATAATCCAGCACTATAATACAGAAGAGGCATATGTTCAACTCAACAGCTGAACAATCTCGTCAGCACACGATTTTTAGACATAAATGCTTGTATATCAAATATGGCTTAATGCAATGACTTATTTCAATGGTTTTTCCCTTCTGTTAGCATCAAAATTCTGCTGCCCTTCTCTAACTAGATATGACAGAGTACAAAAAACAGATGACAATATCAGTCATAAAGAATTTCTGTCTATTGTGTCATCTTCTGTTTTGTCTTCTTTGCACTCTTCCTTCTGTTGATAAACCAATTTAGTATGCTGTGCTTTCCTGTGCATTCCAGGATTTATCTTACCTTTAGTCTCCCCGTTTTACTTTCATGTGGCTAGAGATTAAAGGATGATCTTACAGATGTTGTAAATTAGTCAGCAGCAGGCATAATCATTATTAGGCATGTTGCAATAAATGTTTGGAAGTTTTACATATTTTCCAGAGCGCAGTTAGTTTAAACCACTGCAGTTTGATGGTTTCACATATGACTTTAAAAATTGAAGCAGAAAATTAGTTTACATTTCTTCAAAAGACCAAAGCCATTGTCAACTTTAAGGTCATTTTCAAAGTAGACATCCAACAGAAAAAGCTTCATTTAAATAAGTATTTCAGAATCTGCTTAGAACTGGTTTAGTATTCTCCAGGATAAATACATTATCAATTTACTGAAATTCAAAATAGAGACTTGTCCTATCTCCAAGCCAGTACAGTTACACATCAGACCTCACACAGAGCAAATGTTACCACCCTATTTTGCTTGAGCATTCTAAAAGTTAAGTAACATTGTACTTGATTTTCAGATAATTGATTGACTCTCATTCCTTAATCTTCCGATTAGCTATTATATGACCAAGATTCATTCCAGAAATGACATGAGGGGGTGAATTCCTGTGGTTAATTCCTGGATAGCAGCTGCTCAGGGGGATTAGGATCCTTTTGTCTTAACTTTGAGGACTGAAATGTTGGCAAGCCTGTATCACCAGGCAACGTCAATTACGTTTTCCACAAGAAACAGTAAATTAGCTTTGCCATCCTGTAATTTATTTTTCCCCTCCCTGTTCGCAATGTGTTCTGGAGTCTTCCAGTAGAAGTACAGTTTTCTATCTGCATCTCTGTGGAGTTAATTCAATAAACACACTGAATATTTACCTAGTAATACCTTGTGTTTACTTGTACTTCTAAACACATCATCACACTGTTACCACAAGAAAGCCTGAGATGAACTCCCTGATGAAAACTTCTGAGACTTCTGCAAACCAGGTGGTACTGCTGCATGTAGGCAAGTACTTTGAAGGGTCTCTTCTCACAGACCTTTGATGGAAGCACCAAAATGGGTCATTTCATCCTTGCTTCAAGAGACAAGTGACATGATGTTATTAAAAAAAGGCACTTATGGATAGTGGTTTTGTTCATCCCCTATTGGCTTCAGATTTTGTCCTGTTAGGCAGCCAATGACCTGATTGAATTATACAGGCCCCTTGCCTGTATCAGAATCACAGCATCCCTTAGGAAAGTCTAGCTAGTGCAGCATATTGCCTCAGGAGCATGGATTGCTGCAAGCATCTCAAGTCTCTACTACCTGGACTGCAATCCTAGGCAGTATTCAAGATCAAAGTTTTAGTTGTTATGTATTTTGGTTATAGTTTATAATAGTTATCATTATATTTTTAGTTCTTGTCTTCAAGATTTACCATATCTAGAACAACATCTGAAACTCAAGAAAGAAGACTAAGGTTAAGAATTCTACTGCTATGGCCTAAATGGGCAATCTAGCAAAAGGAATCTAAACTTTTTCAGGAAAGAAGAGTCTGTGGCCATGGAAAAAATTCCCAAAAGAATTCAGGACTAATGCAAACCTTTTGCCATACATGCAGCATGCAATTAATTGATTACTGTCTTAAAACTTTTAGAAAAAACAAAGACAAACCCTTTACGAGATATGTGAGACAATTATATTCTCAAATCACATTACTCACCTACAGGTGCTATGAAGCTGAGGATAGTTTGACAGCAGATAGTCTGAAGAACAGAAAATTTAATGCATTTAGTGAGCCTGAAAAACCTGGAGGATTCTTTTTGATGCCAATGGCAGCACATCCAGAATAAGGGTAGAAGCCAAATGGTGTTCTTCCAATCAGTGGTCTAACCTCCAACACTAAACTTTAGTGCACATTTCAGATGGTCTTTTGACAATACGTGTATGGTAAGACTAAATATTCCTGGATAGAGTTTGCCTTCTAAATTAAGGTTGTTTTAAATAGGATGTTGTTGAAATGTATGGGCCATGTATTGTGTAATATTTTGGATACATATCTGTTTTAAACAATTCAAAGTGCATTTCTCTCAAGCATTTGAGGTCTATGTAATTATGCCCCATAAATAAAAAGCTGAGTTCAGACCTGTATTATTAAAGTACAGCATCCTAGAAGAGAGCTGACCTATGAGACAGCAGACTCAAGCATATCCAGAGTGTTCCTGCACTAAATAACTCATTTATCAAAAGTAACTGAGATAATTCCTTTCAGTGTTACGTCAAGGGAATGACATTGGAAAGTCCTTCTCAGCTCAGAGATATGAACTATAGAAAAACTAGCAATATTTTCAAATGTGTGATTTGCAAATATCTACAAATTTCATACAATACATGTATTTACCACATCAATATTTCTTAACATAAATGTCTTATAGTCTCTGTTTATAACTGCATTATATAAATAGCAGAAAGAACCTGAGCTTTGTTTTTGCACTGGATCAGATTCAGACCTCTCAACAGAGAGAACACATTTCCTTCTGCCCAGCATTGGGATGAATGATCAAAAAACAATCCATGTGGTTAACAATAGATTAACAAAGTGCACTGCATTCAAAAGCTAATAAAGACAACTACGCTGTTTTCCATTATTTTTCACGATTTGATGACATTGCACTCTTTAGGCTCCTGTGTTTACTTAAACACATCATCAGTTGTGGTTTCGTGCCTCTTTAAGTGCTATGCATACATAAAACATGCTTTTTTTCAGGACAAAGTTACAGTTTCCATACTGGCATAAACAAGACATTGCAAATTCTACTTTTGCACTTATAATAGAATAATATGTCTGAAAACATACAGGGTTTCCCATCTCCAAATAGCTTGCATTAGAGATAGCAAAAAACAGAGCAGCATTTAAAGCATGAAAAATCCATGGCACCTGCTGAATTCCACAGCAGTCACTACAGCAGCCAGGCAGTGATGTCGTTCAAGATACACCTATTTTACAAATACCTAGACATGGTGTTCTTTATGTGTTCTGATGGGAGAATTTAAATTTTTGGTCTCTAAACACTTGAGTAGGCCACCTTACAAGTTAGGATTTTAGGTATTTCTTGTAAGAGAAGTGGGTAGGCCTGCTGTTTTAACTCCCTCATATAAATGATTCCTCTAGTTCAGAGATTGCCTATGTGATGGCAGGCACGGGTCATTAAAATAACTTGAGTACTGTTATTCTTATCTGAGAAGCAAGCTCAGATAGGAAATCTTATAGAAGATTCTGTAAGAATCCTCTATAAGAAATCAGAGAAAGTAAAGTCTCACTGTACCAATGGCATATTGCACATTTCACAGTCACCTCCAGAACGGTGACATGAACCTTGATGCATTGAGAATAACTGTATTGGTTCCACTGGCATTATTTATGGCATTGAGCCAGGTAATCTTTCTTTGCGTGGAGATGGGGACACGGGTCACAGGTTTACTTGTCTCTGGTTTGTGGCTTGCAGGTCCTTTCTGTTACCAACAACACAGAATGTGCGAAGCTACTGGAGGAAATCAAGTGTGCACACTGCTCACCTCATGCTCAGAACCTATTCCACTCACCTGAGAAAGGGGAAACTCCTGAAAAAGAACTAATGCTTCCCTACCTGTGCAAAGACTATTGTAAAGAATTCTATTACACCTGCAGAGGTCACATACCAGGTAAAACTCATAACAAAATATGGGGCTAAAGGATGTCCTGATGTTGATACTGCCTGAGCAGTTACAGATCCAGCTTTTAACCAGGAAAAATCCCCACTGATATCCAGGGCAATTTGTCCAAGCAGGGGCAGAATGTCTTCACAGCAGATCTTGCATAGGGAGGAAAATACTTTGAGGGCTTTCTTGCCACCCTCCTGTTGAACACACATGGTTTGATTGTTGTCAAAGGCACCTGAAATTACCTTTGCTGAAATATTAGTGTGTTCATTCTAATCATGCAGACAAGCAGCTGGCCATCCAGAAGGCTATTCTAAATGACAGATTGCTTCGAAATAAAAGGTCCTGGCTGTTTGTAGCCTCTAAAAGCTGATGAGTAAAGTGTTTTTCCTGGTTTTGTTACCCTAGAAACTGGTGTTTTTTCCACAGGGTTTAAAGCCCATTGAAATCAAAGGGCCCTATTTGATAGACTTCTGTGATCTTTGAATCACTTCCAGTGTGCTGTTAACAACCAAATTCTTAACTTACCTAACACTTCCTCGCTGTAGTCAGTGGAGTTAGCTGGACATAACCAAAAGCAGAGTTTGCCCTGTGTTGTCTGAGGCAGTCACCAAATGTGTGCTATCACTTGTAACTATATCAACAAAATAACCGCAGAAGATGGCTCTTTTAGAAACAGTGTCTTAAGACACTATTATGTTAAATAACATCTTTGGTATTCCCAATAGTAAATTATTTATATGTTTAAGACTGTCATTTTTAAACTATGCTTTTTTCCCTGTCCAAACACTACTTATAAACAATGCCACACAGGAGAAAATAATTAAATTGGTTAAGATTTCTTCTTTTTTTTATTCCTTTAAACTAGCAACACAGACTGGAAAAAAGGACTTGATAATGAGATGAAAAATGAATTTGTGAATAGTCACTTTTAACATATGAACACAGCTTTGTAATATAATATAAACATATTTGAGTAAAGGGGATAGTTTAAGTGGATGGGATTTGGAGGACGGTTTTTTAATTGCATGTGTACAGTGTGTACTTGTTTTCTCTGAAACCCCAAGAGTGCAGGGATTTTTTTGCAGTGTTCTTTTATTGACTTGAGAAAACATTTTGAATTTACTTACTTTTTCCCTTTACTGTGGTTTAACATGTATCTCAACCCATTCAAATATGAAAATATTATTATTGTCTTTATAAACGAAGAGATGTTTCTAAGGCTTTCTTAAACCAGCTGTTTCTTGCTCTTTATCACATTCCCCAAAGCAAAGCAGAATAGATCATAGTTGCCAAGACTGCCTGCTGAACAGCGATAACAGATTAGATATTCTAAATGTTTGGCCCATATAAGAAGTCAGCACAAAGACATTTTTGACATGAGTTTGTAGCTAGCACAAATGATTTTCATATTCTGCAGAGTGAGACCCTCCGAGTTGTTTTGTGAAATTCTGTGTTTATGAGGAAACAATTTGTTTAATTGAAAAAAGTGAAAGAGGGAAAAGGGGGAAAGAAGGAGGTGGTGGAAGGGAGAGAGGGAGGGAGGGAGGGAGGGAGGGAGAATGAGAAAGGGCTGAGCAGCACAGGAGCTACAGCCACAGGAACCTCGCTCCTCAGATCAACATATGTGGTGACGAATGACAAATTTATTTTTCTACAAAGTTTGTGTATATGTAAAACTGCTGAAGTGCATCAAGATGTCAAGTGCTTTTTGTGACCACCCAGGTTGCCTTGAAAGATAACCAGATGAAAGCATAACATTAGCACTGGGCAGAGCACTGTGCTTTACAGGAAAAGAGCTTACATACTTTAGCATCAGTTAAAATAGGATTTTTCCTACATCAATCAGATGCTAATAATTGTTCTAAATACTTGTCCTGAAAGTAGGTTGTACTAACAAAAACTTGTTGCATGCTTACATCCACCAACAGGATTAATTTGGTGAGTTGACTGGTACTCATGGTCGTTGATATCTATTCTAGGATTTCCCAAAGGTATCCATTAAGATTCAGGTCCCTCTTTTTGAGAAGATGGCCTATAGGATTTTAATATAGTTTCATAGTCTTATTCATTCTGAAATATAAGTAATTAAAATAATTTATTTGGGGGTTCTGTTTTCCTTGTGAGACTTGTATATCTGTAATAATATTTACTGCAAAAGAAATTAAAAAAAAATAGAAAGTGTGGAAGTTATATTTTCAGCTTAGCCTGGAGGATTTTAAAAAGAGTTGAAAATTAACAGGCCCCCAAACCCAAGGTCTCTGGCAATGATTCACTGTGCATTTGTTAAAATGTCGAATAATTACTCTTCCTCCATTAGGGAGTGCTAATTGTTTCTGAACACCAATACAACAGAGTTTAAGGAAATTGCTGACTGCAAAAATAATTTTATCCCCTAAGTCTTGTGCAAATGAGAAATATTATTAACATTTTAAGACAGCAAGCATATTTTCTGGGATTGAAATGTTAGCAGTACATATTAACCAAGAAGGCCGAGAAATTATGTGTCAGGTTTTTTTCATGAGTTAGCTTCAAAAATTCATTTATTGTTCTGTCTCCTGCAAAGATGAAAACTCTAGCAGATCCTTGGTTAACTCTTTTGAAGCCAGTAGTTTGCCCACCAGTTATGACTGTATCAGAACTTCCACTGACTTCTTTAGGAATATTGAGAGAAAAGGTGGACCCTGTTCTTTATTCAAGCAGAACAATATCAGAAGCTGTTAGGATTGTATGGATGAGCAGGAGGGTGTAATGTTTCACGAAGATTTTGAGATCAGAGCTTCTCTGATCTTCTGTTTCATTCCAGATAACTGTTCTGGCTATTTCTCATCTAATCTTTACTGCAAGCCTCAGTTTCAGGGATTATTGATGGATACACTGAAGTTAAGTGATTTAATGAAGTGTCTTCAGTCAATATGAATTTTAAGTTTTCCCTTTCCATAAGGGAAGATTCACTAATATTTATTACTAATATAACTAGTAAAGAAAGGCACAGCTGATTCTGCCTTTTGACATAAGCAGAAACTTGATCCATGCCATTGGAAGTGGAATATTCTAAGGAACAAACCTGTGCCACAGCCACGGTGCCATCCAAGGACGTGGGAGAGATTTTGAGCTATCTGGCCTCCATTATTTTCATTTGAAGAAATGGGTTCCAGATGATTGTGGGTGAATTCAGATCCAGGCCCAGATCTGAATCCAGACATTACTAGAACAGATGTCTGATAGGATTTTTCAAGCACTGAACAGGGTGTTCCAAAATGTCGGAATTCTAGCCCAAAAAATTAGAATTCTAAGAAATTCTACAGCTCACAGAACACTTCCAGAAGTTCTGACATGGCTGATTAATAGTCACAGTCAACATAGTCGACCTGCAGAAAAATAGTAGTGGCTGCTAAATTTGCCCTGGCTCTGCCTGTGTTCAGGAACCTACAGTGTCTGAGCAGAAGAGGGTCACCAGTCACTTGGAAACGAGTAGGAAATGATGTGAGCTACCAGTGGATTTAGTAAGTTTTGAAACAATTTATCTGAAATCATGTCTTTGGTTTGGTTTTCACTGGCAGTTGAGAAGAGAGGAGAATGTGGGGGTTTTGTGAACAAATTCACATCTAGCTGTCAAAGGTGCAGATCAGAAAAAAACCCCAAAAGGTGAAGGCTGCTTTGACACAGTGCTGAACTGTATCCTCAAGGTCACAGCAGAAATCAAGCAGGTGAGCCTGACTTCCAGATGCCCTCAAAGGCAGTGCAGGTTTACTCAGATGAGTGGATGATACTCAATCCTGTGTGCAATGCAAACAGGAGGGAGTGAATAGGAACTTGACTTGCTGCAAAGACTGAGACATGTGCTACCATGGCACTGGAGTTGTGTGTCAAAGAGAAAAGGGAATGGGTAATTGGGGAATCCAGCAAAGTGGAATTTGGTGAAGGTAGGATAGGAAGGGAGATACAGTGTGAGGAACAACTGGCTGCAAATACAAGTGGAGAGAGGAGGTGGGGATCAGCTGGGAGCAGTTTTCCTTTGAAAAGGCTTTTAATCTTGCAATTTATTCCCACAGTGTTTTATAAAGGCTAACACAGAAAGCCTTCACTGTAGCTGCCTTAACTGAAAAGCCTGTCGTTGGATTCTTGTTTGCAAGACAGAAAGTTTAGCATAGAAATGCAAGCCTGTGCAAAATCTGACACTTAAACATGATGTTTAATCATCCTTTGTGATTTCAATTTTCTTTGTTAACACAGGCACTGCTCTGTCAACACGTACACAGCTGGTAGGAAATTTGTAATAATATGTATGAGTCTTTTAAAATAAATCAGTAAGTACAGAAATTCACACAGGACCAAGGGTTGCAGTCCCTATTACTTTTTTTTTCCCTTTTCTCCAAACAATTCTAGTGCTTAGGGGCACTTGTCAGGGACCATTCTTCTGGACACTGTACAAACTCTGAACAAAATGGCAAACTGTACACTAAAGACCTTGCAATCTAAGCATGAGAAAGAAGATAATAAATGGCTACAAGCAGATAGGAGAGCAGAAGCAAATGTTTCTCTAAATGTTTCACTAACAGTGAAGCAGTTAGTATGTTAAATGGGGCATATATAGCACATGGAGATTTTTTTTCTCTAAATTACTATGTTTTTTATAGAACAAAATAGCAAAATTCCACCCTTAATGCACAGGTGAAACTGTATTTACAGAGGTTACATTCCTTCTAGCAATGCAACATTTTTCATAGTTTAATTCTAACTCCACTATTTTACAAGCATTTCTAATGAAAATGGTCCATAAGCCTTATCCTTTCTTGGAATCTGCTGATGGGTTTTCTAAACAGCAAAAGGCAACTGCAGTGCACCATGGACTTTAGTGCATGATAAAATATTTCATGAGGCAAAGGGATTAGTCTTACATATAAGAAAAGGCATTGCACTGGTCAAGTGAGTTTGCATCTGATTGTTATTTGAAATGGACATGTACCAAGTGAGCAATGTGATCACAACCTGCTCTGGTTTCCCTGACTAAAGATAATACTCCAGCTAAGAGAAGTTTATCTTTAGTAAAGAGTAAATGGTTTACTTGGAAAATTCTAGAAATTCTTAGTATACACCTCTAACTTGCTATAGCATTTTTTCGAATGATCCACTGTGCCTAGAGAAATAAATTATTAAAGACAAACCCCTGTATTCTTCAGTCAAATAATTCAACAGCAAGGTTTTAGATTACCTTTGATTTTGGCATTATATTTACAAGCCTTGGAATACTACTCTATGATTATATCAGAGTTCCTCTTCAGTTGTTCCACTTGAAATTACATCTCCCATTTTCTCCAAATAACTACTATAAATTAAAAGCAGTCCTCAGAGATGAAATTTACTGAAGCTCCAAATCACAGTAATTAAACTTTTACACCGTAACACACTACCACGTGTTTCCAGATATTATTTTAGAGAAATCAAAGGCAGGCTTTATAGTGTCATTTTTCCTATATTTTTAAAGGAAGATGTATATGAAAAGATGTATAGTTGGGTGGGAAAGGCTTTTCACTCCACAAGAATTCTGGGATCCAAAAAATTTTCCTATTCCACATAAGGAAGAAATTGAACTCTTTCGAAATTTTCCATGAAGAAAGCCACAGAGAGACCACCCCAGGATAGCTAATAAAGTCGTTGTTAGGACATTTACTTGGGAAATGGGAGACTTAGGGTCAAACTCTTGCCTGACAGATGAGGGGCATTGACCTGAATATTCCTCTTCCTAATGAAACACCCTAATTACAAGACATTGGAGTATAGTGGTACAAGGTTTGCTGTCTGGTTCTGTCTTTTTCATTTAGACCAGAAGTTTGAGCTTGGACCAGAAACATCATGCTAAGTAAAATTTTGTCAAAACTGATAATGTTTCTGAAAAAGCTTTGCTTATAAGAAATTGGCATTTTCCAATGAAACACAGCTGTCCCTGATCAGTTCTTATTGTACATTGTAAGCCAGAGACTTTATGGCCAAGATCTATGGATTACTGCATTATTCACAAGTGGTAAAGCCATGCATAAATTAGGCCTCTAATGCCAATTAAGTGCTAATTCCATGTATCCTATGAGTTATGTCCTGGACTGTAGTACATCCTAAGGCAGTTGCCAGTAATGCAAACAGGAACGAAGGTAACTTAAGACGTATTATCTTAACAATGTTCTGGTAAAATAGTACATGTATTAGTACAGATGTAATTAGTGCACATAATAGTACAGAGCCAGACTCTGTCTTCTTCGATTTAATACTCCTGATTAAAACATGGATAGAAATGACTAGAAACAGGTTTGTGAACAGAAATAGATTTTTTTAAAATGTCCTTAAACATAATGCAAGAAAGTAATAGCAATAGTGGCAGGTTTTTTCTTCAAAGGCTCTCATTTTATCAACTTTGTGTTTCTCTGAGTCTTTGAAGTCCTTCCCATTTTAGGTGGTCTAAGGACCACCTTTCATCCAGTGCAGCATAAAACATCCCCCTTTTCAGGGGATGGGGCTGAGGAAGTTGACTTCACCATGGGACACTGCTCAGCTACTTTAATGCTGGGAGTCAACCAGAGGCCAGCTGGATGTCAACACGGTGCAGCTTTCAGCACTACTTCCCACTTCTCACCTCTCCAACCAACGTCCTTTGCTGGCAGCATTCCACAAAATTTTTACTGCATGTCTTTTACCAGAGTCTTCACTGAGATTTTGACTAGAACTAATCACTTATTTAAAAAAAAAAGTTAAACAGAAGCTGCTCAGGCTATTTTACAACAGATACCACACTTGATTTATAGGGTTAAAATTGGGAGAAGTGTGTAACAGCCTCAACTCTGAACTTTGTCTCTTAATTTTTAGTGAGTGAACCGTTGTGTCATTTTGAATGAAACTTAAGCACACTGAAAATGAGGCTTAATACAAATACTAATGAATAAACTGTAAAAGGCAATGCTCAGTTTGTGTTTATACATTTGTGTTTACTCAGAGCAGACTCTTTTTTTGCAGATAGCCCTTTGTTTAAAATGACCTCTTTTTCCACTATAAGCTATTTAAAGATGAGTTTGATGACACAAAACTGCAGACATGACAACACACTAAATATTTGTATGCTCTTTTGCATTTTTAAGGTTTCCTCCAAACTACAGCTGATGACTTTTGCTATTACTATGCAAGAAAAGATGGTGGTGTGTGCTTTCCAGATTTTCCAAGAAAACAAGTGCGAGGGCCAGCTTCTAACTCTCTGGACCACATGGAAGAATACGACAAAGAGGAAGAGATCAGCAGGTTCATAAAGATAAATGCTGTTTAATCTGAAAAAAAAAAAAAACAACCCTAGCAAAGCCTGTGGTTTTCACAGTGAAACAGCTCAGTGTGTGCTTATGCTGAGCAGCTGTGTTTTCCAGATGTGACTTTCTTTTGCTGCTGCTAGTGTACATCAAAAAAGAAAGTTACACGAGCTTCAGCACTTCAGTACCATTTGATATTTGCCTTGCTGAAAAGGTGTTAGAATCCTGCCCTGATCCACCCTGTGGATCTTGGTTATCGTCCAGCCCATGGATCATTCGTAGTTCTGGGAAGGAATCTGTACCTAAATTTAATATTACTAAACAACTATGATAAGTTTATTAGTAAAATATTTATGTTGTGATCTTCAATTTATTTCATTTGTGGGTTTTTTGGTGAAAATAATTAAATTAGATTATTTCATCATAAGTCATTATTTTAAAATGGATTTTAGAAGCCAAATTTTATCCAAGTGATGAAATTTGCTGTGTTTATTTTGTAGTAGAAATTCTGTATTTCTAAATTATTCTCTTCTTTCACCAATTTTTTCCCTCCCAGTGCTCTACATTTTGGATCTAAGTTTATTTAATGTTCTCTTTTTTTGTATGCAGACCAAATTTCCCTGAAGTGAAGCTCAAGCTGATTTTCTGTATTATGTGCTGGCATATATTCAAGGAAATAATTTATACACATTAGCATATAAAAAAAAGTTTTATTATAAACCTGTTTTTAATATCATTGCAGAGCAGTAATTTTACCTTTTAGGGACATTGTTGTGTCACGGTTATGAGAAAGAAGAAATATCTCACTATTTCTTTAAATTTCTTTAGAAAACACAAGCACAACTGCTTCTGTATTCAGGAGGTTGTGAGTGGACTGAGGCAGCCTGTTGGAGCAGTACATTGTGGGGATGGATCCCAACGCCTCTTCATTCTTGAGAAAGAAGGATACGTGAAGATTTTCACTCCCGAAGGAGATATACTCAAGGAACCTTTTTTGGATATACACAAGCTTGTTCAAAGTGGAATAAAGGTTGGATTTTATACTTACCTCTACCTTTTTATTTTAGCATGTATATTGGAGAAATTGAAATAATAGTTTTTAGATTTTAATTGAATTTAAATAACAAAAAAGAGTAATGACAAGAGACACCAATGTTCTTCCTGGCAAAGAAATGAAAACTCATAGTGGGAAGGGAAAACAGCATCTTGTAACTCTTAACACTTTTTTCTTTTCCTTCATTTTTTCCTCACTTTAAATTCAAATGAAACTATTCAGCACAGCATTCCACAGCAATATCTTTGTATTTTCATCCTTTGAGCTCATTCCCATCCCATTCAATTCAGATGAGTTTTGCTGTGGTGCCAGTGGGAGCAGGAGTGGCTTAGGGCCTGCCCTGCCCTCTGGGTGCTCAGTGATTCCCAGGGAGGGAGCTGGACACAGGAGGGGGCCTGGGAATCCTCAAGGATGCCCTGGAGAGGAGCAGGGGTGCTCATTCCCTCTTGGCTCGACCCCAAATGTAGCACAAGCTTCCCTGGGTGAGAGGCTGCTGTTAAACTGCATTTTTTGGAGTGGCACATAAAAGTGACTGACCTTCTAAATTCAGACATGGGCTGGAGGGATGAACAGCTTCCATCCTGTTCACTGGGAACACTTTCATGGTCAGGGCAGTGAGTGGAGAATGGGCACTGATGGGAATATGTTGGAAGGTGGAGGTGAGAAATTACATCTAGTTATGGGGTAAGTACCAATGGAAAACTTATAAGTCTGTTAGAAGATATTTTACTTCTGGAATGCTGTCAAGTGTTGTTCCATGTTGATTTCTTGTCACAATTCAGAGTGGTAGTGCAAGTGAAATCCAGCTATATAAAGAAGTTTTAAGTTAGAATACCCAGGATTATATATCAAAAAGCCTTAGTGAATGAAAGTTATATTGACATATTCTTGACAGAGGGATCTTTAATAATTGTGACAAACTCAATCGATTTGAAATCACAGCACATGTTAAATGATAATTTTGTTCCAGCTATAAGGGCAAGAGGCCAATTAGGATAGACTTTTCTGAGAGAAAATCTCAGAGGTTTTTAGTGTGTGTTGAAAAAGAGAGCAATGAAACACACTGCACCTTTTTCAGAAAAAAAACCACTTTATATGATTTTGTATTTTGCTGAATGTTTCCCTTTCTACTCCTGCAGATAGCCATTATGTTCAAGATAGCCAAACAGAAGAGACTTATCAGGGGTGTTTTTGAACAGCCATCTAAGGCTGTTTTATATTTCTTAACCAAAAGTTCTGATCACTTGTACTTGTGGAAAACTGACAGTGAAATTTCCACAGAACTGTTATTGGTCCCAAAGAAACCTTTCTCGAGGAAACTTTTACAGATGCAACTTAAAGACAAGGCTAAATGGAAAACTGATTTTCCATGCTTCTGAACAGGCACTAACCTGCTTGATATGACTCAACAGGTACCCTCAGGATCAGATTCAACTTTTAGTTCTGTTTTAAATTCGTGACCTGATCTTTTCAATCTATACTATTCTAACCATCATATAATGCTCTACACTGGATCTGTTTCAACTGTAACATTTTGTGTAAATAATTTGATGTTTCTAAGCTAGGAAGCCTAATTCAATTCCCTGAGATAACAGTCCAGTGACTGAGGAAAGCTGTATGGCAGTGTTTAATGCAGGCTGCCAGGAATGGAGGTTATTTTGCAGTAAGGAGAAAGGGACTATGCCTAGCTGCAAGACTCCAGCTCTTAAATAGAAAGACTACAGAATTTGTGGAATGAGTACATTACATAAAATAATAAATAAATCAAAAACGCATACACCACATAACCAAAATGGTAGTTTTAAAACAAGTGTTCTTAAACATTTTTACATTTATCCTCTGCAGTCTCCCATAATCATTGTCCATGGTCCCTTACCCACAAGGAAGGGAGATAGATCACTGTGGAAATGGCAGTATTTGGTTTTACTTAACTGTTACACACTTCAATACTAGAAATTAGTAATGGAGAATAAATACTCTCTGGATTGATGATTTTCCAGCAGGCAGTGCAGAACAGTCAGCAGTTAAAAAGAAATTCAACAAACCACTATGTAAAACACTGCATCCACTTGCACAGTGCAGATATCATGGAATGTGTCCTCTCTGCTTACTCAGGAAACATGTACAGTGCCAGAATTTGCATGTACACACGTTGAAGAAAACAAAAAACCAATCACTTGTTTTCCAGCCTCAGAGCAATAATAACAAGAAAAGGCAAACAGTTTTTTTCCCTCAAAAGAAGTGTAAAAATTTGTTGTCTTATACTCAAGTGTCTGAAAACAGCACCTTCTGCTATATTCTTTCTGTACCTGAAATACTAACAAATACTGAACTCCAGTGACAGTAAAACCAGCAAAAATACTTTTTCAGACTTTTAGAGACGTATCTTATACCTAGTGAGTAATTAGAATAATGATAATGACAATGCTAATGCTAATAATGCAGCTGTGGTTGAATCAAAGGTAGTATAAATTGATGCCTCTGAGAAGAATTTTGGACAGCTATCCCAATAAGATATTTTTGATGCCAATAGATGGAATAATTCAGTGATCATTGATTTTGTCTTCTTTTTTTAATGTCAAAAGGAAATTTAGCAGTGATAAATCATAATATTGTCATAAAGTAGCAAATCTGTTCCAGAGAATCAACTCAAAACTATCTTGAGGCTGATCTAACTAAGAAACTGAAGTGATGTATTTCCTTCATAAAAATAATCCTGGAGGTTAGTTCTGATCTCACTAACATATTTCACTCATTACAGCACTGGCAGTCAGATAAGGAGGAAAACAATATACAAAAACAGAGGAAGAGAGGTGATTGCATTGTATAACAAGAAGTCATGTTTCCCTCCTTAAAAGATGCCTTTTTGTTTCTCTAATGGATCTATTGGTCCCTGTGCTGATGAAATTCATTGGGAGCCCCTAACATTGCTGTGAGCAAGTTTGTAGGGCTTCTTCACTGGCCCTGCTGCCCTAAGCACATCAGTAGGATAGTCTGGACTTGCTTCTTGTCCATCACTCCTGGGAAGGTCTGTGGATATAAATAGAAAGTAAGTAAGAAGAGTGGTACAATTCTTTGCCTAAGTTTTATTGGTCCATTGGCTTTTAATGTTCATTGAAGTCACTGAAGTTCTCTGCTTGAAAATTGTTGCTGCAGTACATTTACTGACATTTACATGATTTAATTTTAAGGAATTCAAATTAAAAAGGAGCAGTGATAATTTTATCTGCTGCCACTATCTCAGAAGGAATTAGCACAAGTGTGGAGAAGTATTTCATAAGAGATGGATTCCATGAATGGATGATGTTGACTTATTCTTCTTGGTGGCCCTACTCAAGAGAAGATTAGATGCAGGATTCCTGAAGATTAAAACACATCTCCTAATTTCCAAAACTCTGTTACAGCACAGTTTGCAGGAATGCTTTTTTGATCTTCCTTCCTTCCTTCCAACCTTAGTTGTTGGAACCCATGACTGGATATTAATCAAGAATTTGCTAATTCAACATCTGTGGCCTTCTCCAATGAATTTTATGTCACCCTGGCCACATCAGTATTGTAGAGTGTGTGTACAGATTGGGCTCTTTGGCCAGCCCCCTCCTGTCATCTCCTCCCCAATGTCAGGAATGTGGTGACAAGAAAAAGCCATGTACCTTGGTCTTGCCTCAAAGCTGAGCAAGGACATGGACCTGTAACTCAAATCTGGGCCATGCACGTGGCTCAACTATTTAGGAATATCTAGCCCAGCATAGTGGAGAAAATACTGATTCCACCTCCTGTTATATTAATGTACTCATTCATATTGCAAACTATCCTGAGTTTATACAGAAGAATGAACTTTTTACCAAAAAAAGCCCCATAAAACACCCAAACTAAAAGTCTGCTTCCCTATTTTGGTGATTTACTGCTCCATTATGTTGTGGTGAAGAGAGCTGTTAGTTGCAGAGCAACATTTTGCAGTTCTTCCTTCAAAGTTATGTAGCAGCAAAGACAAATTTTTAATGAAAATATTAGAAACCATTTCTTCTTTCAGTCTGATTGTCACTACTGTTATTTTGTTTCTGTTTTTTCAACTATTGCCAAGTAGAAAAGAAGAAGAATGTTGAAATGAGAAGCTATTGAACTAATAATGGTAACACTTTAAGTGGCATTTAAGGAGACCTTAATCAATTATCTAGAAAATTTATACCTGATGTGTCTGAACCTATTGTCAAAATTTAGGCAAAATAATTAAAAGCTCCAAAAGTATCATGCAAATCTGATTTTATCCCATAATGCACTCAGCAGGGAAAAAAAAAAGTGTCAAAACATTCCAAGCACTTGGATTTAATGATTTCCTGAGATGCAACAGTGCTGAATAAGCTGTTATTACAAGATCAGTCCAGTCACCTTGTACTCAAGATTGTATCTAACTTACAGAAAAATGATCAATGCTGTAGCAGTTTTCCAACTTTTCATACTCCTGTGACTGTATTTTATCTTATTAACTGTATTATTTCCTAAGATTTGGAAACCTTTAGGTTAGCAGCAGTCACCATAAAATGTAGCACAACCTATTACATCAATTTTCACTTACTTTCTTCTCTCCTGAGCCCAAAAACCTGTATTGGTCTAAAATATTTTGATTTAAAATATATTGTTCAGAAGGGAAGGCATCAAGATATGGTTTGGCAACAACAAAAAAATTAGGAGCTTACCACTTCTCTGGGGAATTAAATGCTATAATCACCTTTCAGGATACTTTTTGAAAAGCTAAGTAGCTCTAGGGCTGCAACTGTTAGTCCTTAAATCATTTTTGTGGTCCTTCCCTATAATCATTCAACTTCCCCAAATCCTTTTAAAACGAAGGACCTCAGAACTGTACAGAGTAGCCAAGTTTACATCTTACTGCTGCCAATGGTAAAATCAAGTCCCTGTAGTTCGAAGGTCGTTTTCTACTTATAAATCCACTGACTGAATGAGCTCTTTAGGTACAGATT